GAGCCGGCCACACGCTCAGGAGGCAAAGAGACGCCTGTGTGAAGGAGACCGAGTCCTATTTCTGGAAAGGGACGCCCCATGTTCAAGACTAGACACGTTGGATGGGTTGGCGGCAGGCGGGACATGGCAGAGGAGACAGCGGTGCCCGAGGAGACCGGCAGCAGAAGCGATCCAGCATTGAACACAGAGAGAGCATCGCCCAGGCAAGTGAAGGCGTCCCAGCGTGGGATTCGAGCAGCCGAGTGTGTGTGGAACTAGAGTCCACAAAGGAGAACAGAAAAGTGTTTGAAGAGACATGGCCCAAACTTCCAACCGTGAAGAACCCACCGAGTTATTTCTCCAGCCCGGCCGGTGCAGACAGTGTATTCCCTTCCCTGCCAGGAGCTCCGGGCCCAGGGCTGAGCCGTAACTTCTCTTTCTTTCCCTCGGTCACGTCCCGGGGCCCAAGCCATCCTGAGGCAGGAAAGGACCTCCTGCCTAAGAGCCCTCTTTGCAGCCACAGGGTGTGCGCGCCCAGGGAGGTGTGCGGGGCAAGGACAGCGTCCTGGCGAGAGCGTGGGGTGCGTGGTTTGTGCGTTGCTTACAAAGCGCAACAACAAACATTTAGAACTACACCAAGCCGTGGCCGAGCCGCAGAAAGCCAGCCGTCGCCCCTCGTCTCTCCCACGCGATGCCGGGCAAGGAGGGACCACCTTCAGGCCCAGCCGACTGCTCCTCCGACATGGGGTGACGAGAGCTCTGCCCTCAGAAGAGTTAACGGTGAGCAGGGAATCCTTCTCTGGGACTTCCTATAGGGAAGTAAACTTCAACCACTCTGACACACTCCATTGGAGTGCAGGTTTTATATAAATCTTAGTAACTATGAGCTTATGGTAAACTGATACGCTTAATAATAGCTGTTTCCCTCCACAAAATCCAAGTTTGAGAAAGGGTCAACAGAACAACATTCACTGTCTCTCCTTGCTTTACTACCTCCCCTGAGCCCTGCTGATTGGCCCAGGTTTGCTAGTGGGTGGAGCCAATGTGTGTTAAAAGGCCATAGTCCTGGTCCTTTCATTCTATTTGCAATGTCCATATGTCTAGAGCTTAGGAGACCAGACCAGCCTTCGTGCCCACTCGTTTATGTTCACACACTAATTGAGGCAGTTCCTTGCTCTTGCAGGCTCTTCCCGCGACCAGTGCAGAGAGAGAGAACATGGGGGTTGATGAATCTTGATTAGAACGTGACAAGGTTTAAGGAAAAATGAAAAAACACAAGACTGAGACAGAAATAGAGTGAAAGCTCTGGATGTGGTGTCTGCCCTCTGATGGAGGGACAGACCCAGAGAGCGCCAGCACCGGAAGGGGTTTATTAAATACTCGAATAACAGGAAGTTACATCACATCTGGGTGGGCCTTGAGTTCCTGGCGACATCATGAGATCCATCCCCTTAACACTGGGCAAGAAGGTCAAAATTGAGTGGTGTCCCAGTCTGTTGACCGGGGCCGCCCCCAGGGCGTGGCTCTGCCTTGCTCTGAGTTTCAGCTGACATTTAAGCTGAGAGTTTTTGCCAGTGGCCCTTAAGAAAGATTTAAGATTTAGATTTGGGCCAAGAGGAGAAAAAAATGCCCCAAGGGTCTTCAACCTTGGTCATTGCCCCAGCCAACTTTTACAAGACAGGTCTGTGGAGACTTGAGACATAAGACCTATGTCATAGTGTTACTTTATCTTTCTTTAACGTTAGTCTATTGTTGCTTTACGTATAAATTCCCCAGAGATGTCATGTATTTTAAGGTAAGATTTCAGTATACCTGGGTCTGGACAAAATACAGTCTTTGTTCCATTAAACATTCCATTTTACAAAGAAGCTTACTTGTCCTCAGAAAAATTATTAACTTAGGAAACTCCAGTTTTAGTTTGTAAAGTAGAAAATGGGCATAAAATATACTTAGAATGATAAAGAAGAAAGAGGAGAAAGCGAAAGAGGGAAGAAGAGTCTGAGAAAAAAAAGTGGTGTCTAGAGGTAAGTTAGGAGAGTTGGGAAAGAGAATTGAGAGGAAGAGAAGAAGAAATTTATAGATATGTAACTTAGGTGAAAATAGTGGTTTCCTTTCTGATAATAAAATCAAGATGCAGGAGAATAGAGTCAGTAGTCAATGTGTCAGAAAAATAGAGTGTCTGAACTTAGCTGCCCCAATAAATGGAATAGCAGCCAGAGTATAGCATAAGTGAGTAAACAAAACAATGTAAAAAGATAGAAAACCCCAGCATAAAACAAAAATTACTCAAAAAACAGGAGGGAGATTCCAGTCAAGGTGGTAGCACAGGTAAATGCATTACTTGTATCCTCCTACAACCACATCAAAATTACAACTAAATTTCATGTTTGAGAACCACCTGAAACTTAGGTGAACAGAAGTCTTACAGCTAAGGATATAAGGAAGAAGCCACATCAGGACTGGTAGGAGGGATAGAGACACAAAATGGCTGGTCCCACACCCATGTGTGGTGGATAAAAATCTTGAGGGATATCTCAGCTTCAGAAGTCCTCCCTGAGGGTGCCAATGCCAGGAAGAGATGTCCCCATAACTTCTGGCTATAAAAACCCGCTGGGATTTTGGCTGAATGAGAAGAAGGCTGCCAGAGTCCCAGGCAGTTCCTCTTAAAGGACCAGCTCATGGGCTTATGAGACTCATTTGCTCTGAACTCCTGTACTTGAGCAGCAGCTCCAATGGCACCCATAAGACTGTCGGCTGATTTCTCAACAGAAACTTTGCAGGCCAGAAGGGATTGGCAAGAAATATTCAAAGTGATGAAAAGCAAGGACCTACAACCAAGATTATTCTGTCCAGCAAAGCTATCATTTAGAATCAAATGGCATATAAAGAACTTCCCAGACAAGAAAAGCTAAAGGAGTTTATCACCACCAAACCAGTACTACAAGAAATGTTAAAGGGTATTCTTTAAGAAGAAGAAAAAAAGATAAAAAATATGAAAGATAAAATGGCAATATACTAGTATACATATCTAACCCAATTACTTTAAGTGTAAATAGATTAAATGTCCCAATCAAAAGACATATGAAGGTTGAATAATAAAACAAAACCCTTACAGATGCTGTCTACAAAAAATTCACTTCAGATTGAAAGACACACAGACTAAAAGGACGGTAAAAGATATTGCATGAAAATGAAACAAACAAAAAAGTTGAAGTATCAATACTTATACCAGACAAATCGACTTTAAAACAAAAGCCATAACAAGAGACAAAGAAGGGCCCACTTCTTTGTATATTCACTTCTGGGTATTTATCCAAAGAAACAAACAAAAAACCCTATAAAATTGAAAAAATATACATCTGTTTTTTGAACATTGCAGCATTATTTACAATAGCCAAGATATGATGAATTGGATAAAGAAGGAGTGGTACATATATGCAATGGAATATGGCTTACCTATAAAAAAAAAAAGAATTAAATTTTGCCACTGCAACAACATGAATGGACCTAGAGGGTATTGTGCTGCTGAGTGAAGTAAGTCAGACAGAAGAAGACAAATGCCATATGATTTCACTTACATGAAGAATCTGAAAAACAAAATAAACGAACAAGCAGAACAGAAACATACTCATAGATACATAGAGAACGTTTTGAAGGTTGTCAGATAAGAGGAAAGTTGGAGGGATGGGTGAAAAGGTGGAGATTAAGAAGTGCAAAGTGGCAGTTACAGAATAGTCCCAGGGATGTGAAGTACAGCTGCGGGAATATAGTCAATAACATTGTGGTAAGTGTGTATGCTGTGAGATGGGTGCTAAGTGTATTGGGATGATGACAGTAAGTTAGTTATATGTGTAATCACTGGGTTGCACACCTGAAGCTTATAATATTGTATGTCAATTTAAAACTAAAACATTATTTTAAAATAGATCTGCAAATCAATTCATGTGATATACCACATCAACAAAATGAAGAGTAAAAATCGTATGGTCATATCAATAGGTACAGAAAAGGCATTTGACAAAATACAGCATCCATTTATGGCAAAAAACAAAACAAAACAAAAACACCTCTCAGCAAAGTGAAACTAAAAGGAACATGTCTCAACATGATAAAGGCCATACATGACAAACCCATAGCTAACTTCATACTCAACTGGGAAAACTAAATGCATTTATTTCCCTTAAGATCAAGAACAAGACAAGGATGCCCACTTTTATTACTCCTGTTCGACATAGTATGGGAAGTCCTAGCCACAGCAATCAGACAAGAAGAAGAAATAAAAGGCATCCAAATTGGGAGGAAAGAAGCAAAACTGTCATTATTTGCAGATGACATGATACTGTATATAGAGAACCCTAAAGATCCCACCAAAAAACTACTAGAGCTGATAAATTAATTCAGTAAAGCAGCAGTATGCAAATTAATAACCAGAAATCAGTTGTATTTTTATACATCAACTAGAGGCCCAGTGTACGAAAATCATGCACTGCGGGGGTCCCTCAGCCTGGCCTGTGCCCTCTTGCAGTCTGGGACCCCTCCCGGATGTCTGCCTGCTGGCTTAAGCCTGCTTCCCC